TAACCCCACCGATACCATGTTTGGTCTCTTTGAATTTGTCTTCTGATGATCTAAATGAGCGTTTATATTATATGTGGGTACATAGGCAATATATTAGTGTTCTAAGAATCTTTAGTAATTTTGATTCAAGTTCCATATGCAAATTACCATGCTCTCACACAAAGGGTCATAAAACTCCGCAGTATTTCCAACCTCCCGCTTGGAATTTCAGCCTTTCTCATTGGACAAGCCCATCCGGAGAGTCGTGAATCTTCTCAGACCTTAAAAGTCTCACGCACAGTTCTGCCCATGTTCTTGTTGTTCTTCTTCTGCTAAGAAGCATGTTGGAGCCTGAGCCGGTGCGGGCGTGCCCGGTGGGCTCCAACACATAGCCAGTTCAGTCTGCGGTTCTGTTAGATTCTGAGAAGATGAGGATGTGAGCTAGAACGCTCCTATGGACACCCTAAGTTCGCGCCAGGCTTCGGCTTTGACTTTCCATTCCCCAAGATCCTCTGACTCAAAATGGTTCTTTCTCATCACCTAACTTCAGCCAACCTACTGGAGCCCCAAAGAGCATCAGGACTCTCTTTCAAACAGGCGAGACGTGCAAGTATCAAACTTAGTCTTATTAATTGATACATTAAGTATCATTTGCACCTTTTACAAAGGTGTGTTTGAACTAAGAAACTGATGTTTCCTTCAGGCTGTAGATCTGCTGAATATCAAATGGTACCATAGCTTCATGTTTTTATTTCTCTTCTCTTTACTGCTTAAGCTTTAACCCTTTTTCCTATGCCAACTGTATGCGTGTGTGTGTGTCTGTGTATGTTAGACTAGTTTAAGTGTTTATGTAGGTAATAAAGTCTTACTTGTATCACACTTGAGGTTGTTCATTGTTTGCTCATAACTGGAGTCCCTAATCATGCAGATTTTTGCTACATGCTCTGAGTAGTATTGTACAGTAAGAAAGTTATTTTTCTTAACCAGGAAATTAACGTTCTTAGAATTGACAGACAGTTGACACTGAGAGGTCAAGTAAATACTTACAGCGGCTCTAAATATTTATAATTAATTATAACTAGTTATAATTAATTATTCATATTTACCCTTTGAGCTGATTCGCTACACCTGTTCCACTTCTCGTGAGTGTTCTCATGACAAGACATGGTTTGGGGATCAGATGGAGACGTTGGTTAACAGAGTTGTTCCCTGTTGCGGATCATTTACGTAGTCTCACGTAGTGTGAACACCACAACAACTTCAAGACAGACAGCAAGTCACGTAGTCTGAACAGCACAGCGATCTGCCGACGTTTAAAGTCGTGGTGTGAACTTGGCTTTAAGCTGTCCAGGATGACGAGGAAGCAAAGGTTTGATGACATGATGAAGGAAGAGTGTGTCGGGTGTGTATGAGCAGGGCTGAGGTTCAGCTGTAGGCACAATGCAAGTGACTACAGTGATAAAGGGAAAAGAGGGTCCAGGCTTTGTCCCTCATTTGATGGCAGGAGGACACATTGCGCTGCCAGATGGACACACTTTTCCTTCACTCCCAAAATATACAAGAGTTTCTCTATGTCGCTTGCTTGTTGGAATTCAGACAACACAGCTGTTTGGTTGAAATAGGCATCTCTAATGTTCTACACAGCAAATTTCTGGAGTTGAAAAATTAGGAGTTAGGCAAAAAAGTGTGAAAGAGTTAGATTTTTGGAGTTTATTTTTTAACTCTGACTAAAGTTTGTGTTATGGGATACTCCCTGGCTGTGTTGTATTTTGGAGTTCATTCATTGGTGTTCAGGAGCGTGTTTTAACACCACATCTGGAGTTAAATGTTAAGAAAGTGCGCCATGACACGACCCTGGTTCAGCAGCACGAAGGACTGATGGAGTTTTGTACTTCGTCGTGAGGTAGGTAAAAGCGTATTTATATAACGTTACATATTAAAATATATATATATATTTCAAAATGTTCGATATTTTCTGACAGAAACACGTTTTATCGTAGCTGTTACGTTATGTATTGTGTAATGTCATGTGGCGAACTGTTGAAGTTAACTCCTCCATTTTTTCGAACATGTGGCTGTTTTGTGCGGGTTTTTTATTTTTTATGTTTGTCGATGCGAACGAGCTAACATTAGCTAACCATCTTTCCTTTCACCGTGTTTCTGAAAATGTGTGTTTTGCCGTCAAACTGAAGAAGTGACTCCGCTCAAGAAACCTTAATTCTGTTCAGCTAGCCGACGAGGTAATATCTTTTATCCAGCAATGCAGCCTTATGTCTGTAACATAGCCTAATGTTTTACAGACGTGGTTACTAAACTGCAGTGTTACAATACCCTGGCTAATAAGATAAATTTTGAGCCGTGAAAGTGTAGGCCTGTAATTTAATTGTAACAGCTATGATAAATACGTCTTATTCGTGACCCATGAGAGTGAGTGGTTTTCAGCTTACACACACACACACACACACACATAAATATATATATATATATATATATATATATATATATATTTATGTGTGTGTGTGTGTGTGTGTGTGTCAAGGGAGGCAGTGCCTTCTCAAAGTATTGGATGAGAAAAAATTTGTAGTACAAAAATAAAACAAAGCCAATATTACAAAATATAACATTAAAAAGTTTATAAATCGGACGTGCGAAACGTCCGGGGGACGTCCCCTGTTTGCTGGGATGAGAGTGAGTGGTTTTCAGCTTACACACACACACACACACACATAAATATATATATATATATATATAGCATTCTCAATCACACTAACATTAGTTGTTATCTTAAATGACATGTTTTCTCTTTAATTTCAGGTCACGATGTTGATAAAAGTGCAACGTGGAGGGAAGAAGTATATATCTCAGGTTTTCTCAGTACAGGTGAGTTATATGTTTAGTATTCAGTTAATAAAGAGTAAGTAGCAGTAATTTTGTAATTTCTTTTGTAAATAACATGTTGATGTTATTGTGTAGTCCAGCAGAAGTTTCTGATACCAGAGAATACAACATTGAAAGTCACAGATGACCATTGCATAGAGGTGGATGAGGATGTCTTTCCAGAACTTGCAACAACCAAAGAAATGTGTTTTATCATCCACACTGATGATGGTAGGACATTAAAAGAATGTTTGTTTTGTTTTATAGATATTTTCTGAGTTTGTGTCTTAACTCGGAGACAAACTGTGTGCATTTCAGAACTTCCATTTGCTGAAACATCCAAGAATTCTGCTGACTTCTCAGACCTGACAGAGTTTGGTGCCTCTTCAAATCAGACAGAATATGTTACGCTCACTACATGTGGTAAGCAGAGTTATATGTAATGTGATTATTTTGTCTGACCCTGGATATATCCACCCTGGTACATAATAGAGTTTTGCTGAAGAAACTCTTAGATTGTATATGCCTTATACTGTGTTGTTTTTGTGATATTCAGATTTGACTGTCCTGCAGCAAGGGGTTGTTAAAGGGCCCGGCCCCTTCTGGTCGTTCGGTGTACTACTGTTGATTGATTATTAGGTTCAGCTGTGGCTCGTCAGCTGCCCTATATTAGTCTCAGCGTTTGGTCTTGTCTTTGTCAGATCGTTGTCTCATGTCTGTTCTTGTTGCAGTGCCTCATGTTTTGCTCGGTTCCTGATTCCTGCTCTCTGGTGGATTTACTGGCTGCAGTTTCTGGATTATTGGACTGGTTTCCACTCGTTGTCTCGTGGTTGGAGATTTATGCGTCTTTGCTCACTGCAGCCTAGCGTTACCGAGGAGGCCTGTCATCACTGCACCCACGACTATCTGTTTTCTGTGACTTTGCTTGTTTTGTTCACGTTTAATAAATTACCATCTAACCTCGCATTTGAATCCATCTTGTATTTCCTGACAGGGCCCTCCTCCCCAAGTCTGACAGATACATTGTCTGTTTCAAGCAGTTTAAGCAGCAGTGATTCTGGATCTCAAATGCTTCAACCTTTAACGGATAGTTTCCATGCAAGAAATGTAATTTTTTTTTTTTTTTTTTTAACTTCCGTACAAATAGATCTTATGCTATAGACATACTGTTGGAAAAGAAATGCATTTTGAAAGTATTCAGTGGTATGTACGTTTATTAGATTAAGATTGATTATTGTAATTTTTCTAAATGAGACAAATGGGGAGTAGTAGACCCAGTTGAACTGCGCCTTGGTGTTAGGTATGACACCAGACGAAATAACAAAACTGGAACTTATGAACAAGTTCCTGTTAATGATAAATTCATATATATATTCCAATTTCGAAAACACTCCAGTTCATTTTCAGAAATGAAAACATTTGTGAGATGATGCAAACATGTACTCAGTCTGACATATATGAAGACTTCTGCGACGGTAGCTACTTTAAAAATCATCCTTTATTTTCGACTAATAAGTTTGCTCTCCAAATTCAATTATACTATGATGAGTTTGAATGTGCAAATCCTCTTGGTTCCAAAAAAGGAATTCATAAAATTGGTTGCCTGTACTTTATTAGAAATCTTGCTCCAAAGGTGAATTCTGCCCTCATGAACATCCATTTGGTATCTTTGTTCCATACCCAAGATGTTAAGAAATATGGGATTGATGAAATACTGAAACCCTTAATAAGGGACTTGAAAATATTAGAAACTGTTGGGATTGCTGTTCCATTTGCTGAACAACCTGTACGTGGCACACTTGCTCTCATTACTGGTGACAACTTAGGTATGCATAGCGTTCTTGGGTTCTTGGGATCATTTAGTGCTAATTATTTCTGTCGATTTTGCTTAATAAATCTTCAGCTCAGTCAGTTTTCTCAGAGGATGACCCAAGTTTGACTTTAAGATCACCAGTACTGATTGATCAGCATTATGCCAGTTTGGTAGATGATCCAACACTAACCTCTTCTTTTGGCATCAAGAGGAAAAGCATGCTCAATACTTTGCAGTATTTCAATACTGGGGAAAACTATGCTGTCGACATCATGCATGATATTTTGGAAGGGGTTGGTCAATATGAGATAAAACTACTTTTTGAATATCTAATTGAACATTTCATCTCTAAAGAACGCTTGTTGAACAGGACGTATGCTTTTAATTATGGCTATATGGAAACTAAAAACAAGCCCACAAATATTAACCTTGACTGCGGAGGACATGGATTAGGCTTAAATGCATCGCAAACACTGTGTTTAGTCACAAACATACCTTTGATATTTGGTGACCTGGTACCAGATGATGATTTGCACTGGCGCTTGTTGCTCTTGTTGTTGAACATCATAAACATTGTGTTCTCTTACTCAATCACTCTCTTACTCAATCACTGAGGGGATGACAGTTTATTTAAAGCACCTTATTATTGAACATCATAAACTCTTTAAAGAACTGTACCCATCAAAAAACTTGCTTCCAAAACATCATTTTATGGTCCATTACCCAAGGTGCATTAGAAAGATCGGACCACTCATTCATATCTGGACCATGAGATTTGAAGCGAAACACAAATGTTTTTAAAGATTCTGTGAAGAACTTCAAAAATTTGACCGTTTCACTTGCAAATAAACACCAGTTTGCAGTAGCATAACATTGGGAATGCTTGTCTTTAAAGGCAGTTGAGTCTGGTCCAGTCAAAATGTGTTCACTTGAGACACTTGAATTTTCAGAAAATATAACTGCATCTCTCCACATTGATTCACAAGCCACTGTCAATCTCACAAAGTGGGCAAAATGTTGTGGTGTTGAGTATCGTGTTGGACTCTTTGTTTGCACGGGTACTGATGAAAACATGCCAGTTTTCAGCAAAATAACCTCAATCATTTTACACAATGGTAAAGTGTTTTTTGTTTTGATTGAGCATGAAACATGTTTCCATGATCACTTCCATGCTTTTCAAGTGACTGAAAACCTACCAATGAAGGTACTGGTTATAGAAAGGGAAAGATTAAGACATTTCAAATCTTTTGATGCCCAAATGTCATACGGGTGTGATTCACAATTTTATGGTGTATCAGAGAGTTGTATTATCTGATTTCTTATTTAAATGAGTTCACTGTGAAGTTGTTCCTTGTTACTTCATCTGATATAAGTGTCTACCTCAGGTTACACAATCCTGCACTACTTTATTTTTATTTATTTTTTTATGTAATCCTGCCGGCTTGATTGTATATACTGCAGTGATGTGTTGACAATTTTTATACAATTTTACTAAGCAGTTTTAGTTGGCACTCTGTTAGCGTATCTAGGAATATAACCCTGGATAGACAAAGAGGAAGTCAGTGATGTTATAGAGAGGTAGGAATGGCCTACCTGATATTGACTCGCATGTTGTTTTGTGGGAAACTTCTGTTTATTGCCCAGAATGAGGGCCTCAGGTCATGTGCCTACGGTTTCGTGGGTTAGCCTGAGCTGCTAATCCCACATGGTAAGGCCTGTTTAAAGAGCAACATGGAGCCTTCAGTGTTTTTACACACATTGGGTGAAGGCCATAGCATATAGGAGCTGCAAAAGCATCTACCAGTGTGAATTCCAACTTTTGGATGGCATTTCACAAGGAATATATATTTGTATTGTTTTTTTGGAGAAACAGCGTGAACTGTCTAGTGTGTATATTTTTGCAAGCCTTCATGATAGTGGATTGTTGAATGTGTTTTTGGCCTACACTCCTTTGGACTACGACCATATGGACTATAGATACTTCTTTTCCACATCAACATCTTTCAGATAAGAATTACTGTATTTTCTCCTTTTGAGATTGTCTTGTGATATTTGTTCATTTCTGGTTTGTAAGCTGTGATATTTGTTCATTTCTGTTAGGGCTGCATGATAAATCGCATGCGATATTTAATGCGCATCTTGTCAGAAAGCCGGTTCTGTAATCAGCGGTA